AACTAAACTATTCTTGTGAAATATTTTCAGAAATGATTTAGACCAATACATAAAAAGATGTTGCAAAAATATGCAACAGTTTAGCAAGTACATCTAAAAATAAGTGCACTGTTTATGAAAACAAAGTTACAAGTATTTTATAGTAAACTTTTCTTTACCTTGCAAGTTTCAGTGGATGAGAGAAACTTTGTTAACAAATAAAGGTTCGGCTTAACATTACTCTCCCTTTTATTTTTTGTTTTTTCTTTGCTCCCATTTTTATTTTCAACTGTCCATGTATAAGGTCTACACTGCAAAAGTAGTTGTACTACTTCTTTTTATTTTAATTTTTTAATATACAGGCAATTCACTGTTATATCCAGCCTATCTATCTATCTTAACAGACTTACAATTATAATTATTAAAAGGTAAGAAAAATATTCTACATTTCTCCACAGCAGTCATATTTTCTATTTGTATAAAACAGGATATGCTCATAAATAAAGTGTTGTTGCTATATACATACATACATATATATAACTGAAGTATTTCTCTGTTGGCAGTATGATATTAGACAAAAGGCTTTGAAACTAACAGCAAACAGTATGTATGGCTGTCTGGGGTTCTCTTTTTCTCGCTTCTATGCCAAGCCATTGGCTGCTCTCATCACCAGCAAAGGTCGTGAGGTAAAGTATTTTCTACATCTGATTAATAGTATGTTAATGGTATACCAAAAGTGTTCTGTGAAGTACGAAAAGCATTTTTTTTTGTAAAGTTCTGAAATCCTGTACATGAGGAGATATTTAAACATATTTTGTGATTATAGAAATTGATGATATAAAGTCCCTCCCATTGAAAATTCTGATTGTACATTCGTTGTTTCTACTTTTTGCAAAAAAAGAATATTAATTCTTTCTTTAAAATGTGCATTTATTAAGCCTGATTCATTATCTAGACAGATTTATAAATTAAATAATAAGGTAGATTACACTAAATATTTCCTCTTTTTTTTCTGTTTGAAATTGTGCTTTAATGAATATTTTGTGTTTTATAGATACTTCTGCAAACAAAAGACCTTGTGCAGAAGGTAAGTCTTTTCTTTCCCTAGAAAAAAATTTTTACGAGAGGCAGAAGTATTTGGCATTGAATCGAAAATGCTAAACAGTTTATTAATTATAATAGATCAAGAGATTTAAGAAATAGAATTGCCTAAATATTTAATAAACTCAATTTCAAGAGTAATAAGAAGCTATCAAAAAATTTAAGGTTGAACAGCACGGCAGTCTTAGTTCGCTGCTTCACTTTGTCTATCTATCTATATACGGGGAGAAAAGGTTTTAGGATATTTCACTCATTTATCAATCATGTTAATTTGAGTTTGTGTTTGTTGGATGACAGACATAAAAAAAATATTTGACTGATAGGTAAAAAATTTTGTTTTGGATTATCAACCTTCATCAGTATTGTATATTTTACAGAGATCATGCTATTTATTATTTCAGTAGAAACTAGAAGTAAGAGGGGTAATGAATCTGCCACTTAATTAACTTTTGTTCTAATTGAGAAGTAGCTTATTTATTTCAGAAAATTAGAATTTAATGTCTTGTTCCTTTTTTTTTTAATAGCTCCAGATTATTTTCGAATCTATTATTACATTTCAATGCTATGAGTTAATCAACACAAATATTTGAGAAGAATCTTGTGTGTTTCAGTAATTTGCTGTTGGACAATGTTTCTAGCTGATATTGAATGTTATTGAAACATGTGTAAAAACTTTAATTCTAAACGTTGTGTTTATTTTCAGATGGGTTTGGAAGTAATCTATGGAGATACAGACTCCATCATGATTAATACCAACAGTACTGATTATGAACAGGTTTTTAAGCTGGGAAATAAGGTAACTCCTTTCTTTATGTTCTTTTTTTAATCTTATGGTTCTTCATACTGTATTTCAACTACGATGAAACTAAGTAACAATTTATAAAATTGCCATCTTTAACAATTTAAGCTATTAAACATTATCATGCCTAAGTAGTTATTTAGAAAAATTTTAATATTTTATCAGGATGTTGCTTCTCCATTTTCTGGCCTTATTTCAAGAGTTATTTCCAAAAAAAAAATTATATCACAGATGTTCCATCTATATCTTGTGAAATGTTTTGATTTATTAGATTAATTGTATTAAGTAATATGGACAAAAATTTAACTTTGTGAACATGTTCATGAATTTCTCTGTATGTTTGGTTTATTTGAATTCAGTTTGAAGTGACATTTTCTTTTAATACCAGAAAGTCATTCTTTGTAGGTCAAAGGAGAAGTCAACAAACTATACAAACAGTTGGAAATTGATATTGATGGTGTCTTTAAGTCTATGCTTCTGTTGAAAAAGAAAAAGTATGCAGCACTAGTGATGAATCGATTACCCAATGGACAGCTGTCATGTTCTAAAGAACTTAAAGGATTAGACATTGTACGAAGAGACTGGAGTGGCCTAGCAAAGCAAACAGGAGAGTGAGTACATTATACATATATATATTAAATAATTTTTGAAGTAGTTATTGAAATAGTTTAGTATAGAAATCTTTTTCTTTTTTTTCTGGTAGAAACTAATTGAAAGCTTTGCTTGAAATACAAATTGTGGTGCAGTTTCACATTTATTGTTAAGACTAAGTTGAATAATTACTTATTTAATTTCAACTGTTTTTGTACAATAGACATACTTAGTTTTGCACTATTACTGGTACTTGAAGTTGAGCTTACAACATAGCAGTGCATATAGCATGCTGTTTACTATTGTAGATATCATTTGTTTCTATAATACTGAAGGATAAAAATCTTCAAGCTAGTATGTTGCCCTTGTGTTAAATAATCACACTATTAATAAGGTACTCAGTATATATCTAAGTGCCACTTAACCCTATTGCCATGGGTATCCTTTACTGCGCATAACACAAGGTTTTAGTGTCTTACATTCAAAAAATTATTAAACTACTTTTTGTTCATGTTATGTCAATTAGAATAGCATAAAAGCTTAGCTAATAATTCATATTTTAATATTATACAAGTTTTAAGTACTTGTTTCTATAAGGCAATATTTTAAAAAGTCCTGAATTTCTACTAGTGTGACCCACGTGACACATTTTCTCTTAGCATGTCATCATCCCTATTTTATCCACCACCCCTCGAAAATGTACAAAATCAAACATAAGTTACTCTAGAAAATTGTTATTGCTCAGATTAACCATAATTTTTATAGTCTTCAATTTTGTTTTGGTTACAGAGCTACTGAATAGAAAATCAGACCCCTCCTGCCACACCCACCTGTCACATCCTCTCTTTCAGAATTCGTTGATGGTTCTCTCTTATGTTTCACTATATATTACCTATAAGCAATAGAAAGTCAAGGTTTTCATGTATCAAATGACATTGTATAATTTTATGTTCTGAACAGAGTATCATCAACTTCACTCACAGTACAAGATTCGTTCCCTTGGGAAAGTTAATGACTAGCTTGGATGAATTTGTAATGGCTCTTGTCGCATAGTTAGAAAGCCAGAAAAATTTTGAGAGGTAAGGGAATTTGTCTACCTTTTGAAGGTTATTAGTCTATATTATTTGGTGCATTATTTAATTAAATAAAAATTATTAAGTGCATTACTATCTATGGTATAAAAAATTAGGGTTAACTCTCTTCAAAAACCAACAGCAAGAAAAAAGAAGATTGGTTAAGTATTTTATTTTAGTTTTTCGTGTGTATTCTTTATGTATAATTATAAAAGTAACTAAATGTAAAAATAGGAATCCTTTTAGGTTTGTAAAGATTAGATTAGGTAAAATAAATAGCATTAATATTATAATAAAAATGTTTCATGAGGCACACACATGAGCAGCTCGTGGGTAATGTATTTTATTAGTGTAATGTGAGCTGCACATCCCCGAGTGATTTAAAACTTATAATGGCATGAATAGTAGTTAGACATGGTTCATAGGGCAATAAAACAATAAAATTTAATTATAAATAGATGTATGCTGTTACGAACTTAGAGTTACTTAGGATAAACAGACGTATTTTTTAATGTTACAACTTGAAGTCATTCTAGAAATAAAAAATGGGTAATTTAGGTTCATTTCAATTGTTGTTGGTTTTTTTTAATTTTTACTGAAAAAAACGTTTGAAATGCATTTAGGAGGTTTTAGGGATTACACAAAGGAAATGTGAGATATTTGAGATGAGGAAAAGTATTTTTAAATTAAACATGAAAATTACTTTGCACACGGACTATTCAAAACAAATACTCAATATATTCATAGAAAAATCTTTATTCTATTTTATTAAAAATACTTCACTAATAAATTTGATTTTTTGTGTGTGAAAGACTT